GAACTGCTCTTTCATGTGACTCTCTGTCTCAGGTTTTATGGTAATGGAGTTAGTTTCTGGGTTGTCTCTGGCCAATCATTATGACTCAGGGTTCTTCCTGGTGGCACATGTATCACTCAGCCAAGATGGATTCCAGTGAGAAGGATTCTGGGAGGTTGGTAGGACATATGAGCTGGCATCTCCTCTCTCCTTTAGACCTTTCCCAAATTCTTCTGGTTGATGTAGCTTGTTAGTTCCACAATCCTTACCGGGACCTCCTGTCATAAGATAACTCACCCAAGTGTCACTATCATGCCTAGCCAGCTTGGGTTGTTATAGTCAGTGGTTCTCCTAATAACTTGAGTAGATTTTTCTTTAGTAAAAGGAAGGTTATTACTGCATTATCATAAAAAGTATACTGTATTTTCACTACTATATAACTTTATAGATTTTTTTCTTTTTTTTTCCATTTATTTTTATTCGTTGGAGGCTAATTATAGATTTATAGAGAAAAAATTTAGATTTACATAACAGTTGCAGATAGCACAGAGAGCTGATTTGAGTAGTTTCGACAGAGACCATATGGCCTGTAAAACCTAGATGGGTATTACCAGGTCCCTTACCAAAAAAGCATTTATGCCACCAGTGCACTGAGAAACAGGTGCCTAGGCAGTTTCTAACTCTACTACAGGAAAATGAAAGTGAATTAGTAGGTTATCGAAATCTCACTACTGTAACGAGTTGAGAGAAGGGTCAGTATAGATTAAGGAAAGATTAGCTAACAGATTGCTCTATATGCTCTTTTCTTGAATTCAGGTGCAAGTAAATTCAAGTTGTTTGAAACAGGCTACTTCAAAGAGGCCTTGTCTTCTTGGTTAGTTTTTGCTCAGCTCCAAAACCCTTAATTTCCCTGCTTGCATCTGCAGAGTCTGCCCTGGGTGTTGTGAAAATGAAAGAGGAAGTGTGCAAATACCTGCAATATTATGCAGATGGTTGTGAGGAAAGAATGAGTGTGGCTGGAGTCAGAGAGTCAGAGAAAAAAGCCAAGATAGGAACCAACTGTAATTAACACTGTCCACCTCTCAGTAGAAGGTTGAGGTACTTTTAAATGTTCCCTTGTTGGATATACACTTTTCATCTTATTAATCACATATAATGTCTTAGAAGAAAAAGAATATCATACTATTTCAATTATAAACTTGTACTGTTCATACAAGTATTTCCATAGCCCATCCCCCAAGAAGTATCTTCAGTGGGTTAGTTTGGTTGGGCTTTTTGGTTTATGATGGTTGTTGCTGTTGCTTTGAGAATTTTATTGCTGCTCTTGTTGTTTCTAACTGCAGATGTCTGAAAATTGTTGAACTTTCACACAAGTGGTCCAAATGTAACTTCAGTATTCACTCAGTTGTATCAACTGACCAAAGCATTTTATACTTATTCTATAAGGATATCATTAGTCAGACTCCTTGATGTATATTCTTAGAAGTCACTGTCTCACCAGCACCCTTGCATTTTCCCAGTGGCAGGAATAAACTCTTTATTTATTTATGTATTTATTTATTTATTTATTTTTAGGAATAAACTCTTTATAGGTGATTGCATGTCTTTGGCATAAAAAAACTGCCTCTGGTTGCACCTGGATGGTGGGTAAATGGGGGGATGGTGTTCATGTTATTATTCGCTATTTTTGTGTATGTTTGAAAATGTCCATAATGAAAGTTTGGGTTTTCTATTTATTTATTTATTTGGCTGTGCTGGGTCTTAGTTGCAGCATGCAGGATCTTTAGCTGTGGCAGGCAAACTTTAGTTGTGACATATAGAATCTACTTCCCTGACCAAGGATGGAACCTGGGCCCTCTGCATTGGGAGCATAGAGTCTTAGCCACAGGACCACCAGGAAAGTCCCTGGGGTTTTTCTTTTCACTGATTATTGGACGTAGTTCATGGTTCTCTAATGCATGAACAACCACCACATACTCCACTGGTCTAGCAGTCATTACTAGGATGGCAGCTGTCCAAGAAAAATGAAGACATTGAGAAGAGCAAGGTTAACACTACTCCTTAATGCTTCAGAGTGGAACATGCTTTGAGAGGTACAACTAAACATTCAGGTTAAAATGAAAAAATATTTGGGGCAGAAATTAGATATTGCAAATATATCCCTTCAAAAGAAAGCTACCTGTGAAATGAGCCCTTATCAGTAAACTGCTCCTCATTTGTTACCTACATTTATTAAACTCCTGTATGCAAAGACCTATGCTAGACAGGGAGACATAAATATAATGTCTGCCCTTGTCAAACTGGACGAAGAAAGAATGAGATAGATAACACCTGATCCCCGAAACTTAGCACTGAGTCTTGGCCCCGTGCCTCAATGACCAGGATTCAGCTTAGCCCAATTCCCTTCAGGGTTAATGCCATTCTAATAGAGCACCTACTCTGGGTAAGGTTCTGAGCTAGATACTAAAACTGTGGAGGGAATATATAGTCCCCATCCTTGGTCTAACAGGGAAGAGGGGTAATAAAATCAACTCTTGGATTGTGGAATTGCACTGGGTACCATGAGATAACAGAAGACTTCAGGGAAGTCTTCATGAGTTAAATCTTAAAGGCTTATTAAGATTAGCAAGTGATTAAGGTGAGCAGAAGCAGAGAGTTATAAAGTGTCTGTGGTATGAGAGGTTAGGAATTATTTGGTAATCATACACCAAGAGTATTTAATTATCACTAGAATGTGAGCTCTGTGGTGGGATTTTGTCTTGTTTTGTTCACTGTATATCTGGATCGTGTAGGCACTCATTAAGTATTTCTTAAATGAACAAACAAATCCAGCTATAAATTGTTGCTGGAGTCCAGAGTTTATGGTAGAGAGCCACAGTGGAGGTTGAATCAAGGAATCCCTGTAAGAAGCTTGAATTTTATGATGATGGAGAAACACTCAAGAATTTCACAAAGAAAAATAGCATGACAGGATTTGTGTTTTTGAGCTTTGAGGGAGAGAAGTCTCAGGGGCATAAGACTAGAGAAAGAAACAAAGTGTAAGCTGTTGCTAAAATCCAGGGGGAAAGTTGATTTGGGTAAAAGCCATGGAATTCAGACACAAATTTAATGTCACCTAAAGCCACCAAATAGTTAGCATGAAGAAGACTGGCAGTACCAAGTGCTGTCAAGCGTGTGGAACAAGCAGAACACTTATCCCTGCTGGTGGAGTTTACATCTCTTTGAAAATCTGTTTGAAATCTCAAAGCAATCTCTTTGAAAAGCTGTTGGGTAACTCCTAGAAAAGCTGAACTCAGTAGTCCCCCTTTCAGGTAAACTACAGAACCCAACAAGAATGGGTGTTCGTGTGCCCCCAAAGATGTCTGCACAAAGGATGTTCCTAGCAGCACTCTTGGTCATAGCCCAGATGGATAAACTGTGTTACAGTCATGCAATAGAATACTGAAAAAAAAAAGGCTGGAAATGAATGTATGGCCATTACACAGATAAATCTCAGAAACATCACGTTGAGTAAGAAGCCAGATGGAGAAGAATACACACAACATACTATAGGATTCCATTTATAAAAGTTCCAAGACAGACCAAGCCCATTTGTGGTGAAAAATCCGGAATAGACTTTGGCTTTGGGCACAGGGTAATGGCTGGTAGCGAGGAGCTAAGCTGTATCTACATCCTGATCTGGACATGGTTAAACGAGTGGGCTCTCTTTTGTAATAACTCGTCAAGCTGTATGCTGCCATCTGTGCAATGTTCTGAATATATATGAATATTTTAAGTGGCCTCAGTTTCCTGGCTCAGGTACCTGGGTGGGTGATGGTGGCCCTGTATTAGATTCAGTGTATCTAGAAGAAAGAGGAGTCAAATTCCATGGTTGCCAAGCTTTTAGTGCATTTGTGGCTTCTGGCTGCCCAAGTCACAGCATGCACATACCACCGCCCCTATGGTCACGGAAATCACCCCTCCCTGGAAATCTCCCTTTGAGGCGAGCCCTCCTGTTTCTAACACCCCTAGAGACTGTGCCACCCCTCCATTCAGGGAAGTCTCATCCAAGAAGAGAAGCCCATTTCTAGGGGCCCCCAAACTCTGGCTCCATGCTGCTTTTTGGCAGTGGGGGAGATCCTAAGATAAGGAGTCAGAATCAGATCCACTGGAATCATTGCCGTAAGAATGATAAAACAGCATCTCCTAGACCACTGGGGGCGCGGGGGACTGTCTAGAACTACGTGCAGTGGTCATGGGGAACAGACACACCTTGGGAACTTGTCATCCCTTCTTTGCCAGTGCCTCTGTTCTGCTCAGCTATTACGTGCCTTCAGTGGAGTCAAGCCACTCCTGAAGCAGAGGAGTGGAGGATAGAGACTCAGGAGGAACCTTGGACAGAAGCCACAAGGAAGGATAAGTGGGAGCTACTGCAAACATAGTCAAAAACGGGGGGAGAGACAGACTGAGACTGGAGGGAACCCCAAGCCTCTCCCACCCTGCTTCCACCCCAGCATCGGTTAGAGACCAGGGACAAAGTTCCTTTCTGACCAGATCGAGCTGTCTAGGAAGTCCTAATATCTCCAAGTGAAGAGAGTAAAAAAAAGCATGCCCAAGCTCCCAGCTCCCAGCTCCCAGCCCCCAGCTTCATGGAGCATGCCAAGCAGGCAAAGGCTTGTTTCCTTTGCCTCATCTTGATTAGGAGTTTCCTGGCAATGGGTTCAGTACTTTGGTCAGCTGGCTAAGCTTACCATCCTTTTTCTACACCTAGCCAAGCCTGGTCATTCAGGTGACCAAGTCCTACCTATGTTACTGCCAAGACTTCTTGGCTTGGTACCTCCCCTAGCCTGAGAGGGGCATGAGACTCCCATCATGCCCTAGAGGCTCCATCCAGCTGCCACTGACTCTAAGAAAGAGCCTTTTGCAGATCCTTTCTGACACCTTCCTCCCCTGGTGGCCAAGGCCAAGAGAACTAGTTATAGAGGAGATGGCTACAAACCAGACAACCCAGATAAAACATGAAATTCTGCACCCACACTTAGGTAACCCTATTCTCGAGAATCAAAAGAGCAATTTGCTGTTATAGAAGTGGATCCCTGAGCGAGCCGGTAAGTGAAATGGGATCAAGACAGAGGCACAAGAGTGGGGTTGACTTTCAAGAAACAGAACAAACCATGATGCCCACAGGCGCCATGCTGCTGCCTGGGGAAGCAGAATCATTAGTTGTGGGTGTAGTGTCTTCCCTGTTGCACACGGGGCACTGAAAGTAGTTCTAGACTTTTCTAACCCCTCCCCCCAAAGTCCTAACGCCATTTCTGGCTGCTGAAACCTCCCTCACTAGAAACTCAAGTCTTCACCAAGTCTCAGCTTCAGTTTACCCACACTCTTCCTTTTCTCCAACCCACCTCATACAATTGGTACTAAACTGATCATGAGGAGTAAGGGTCTTTAACTTCCATATTTCATCAGATATAAGATTTTCATTGATAGATGCACCATCCTAATTCAGAGATGTGAAAAATGGAAAAGAAAATGTGCTTCTTAGTATCATTACTATTACCTGAACTAAAGTCAGGGCATGGGAAATCACAAGCCATTTGATTTTAGGGGATCATGTATATGAATTAGCAAGCCCTCAAGATCAGTGTATAAATGCCCCGAGAAGTTTCAATGATTGGGTTGCCTCATTTCCAACAACATGATATGTTTTAGATCTTAGTTTAGAGGAATATCATGGAAAATTACATAAATCTGTTAAAATATTAGCATAAGCAATTTTGAAAAGGTGCCAAATAATTAAAACATCAGAAATTTAGTGTGTTAATGTGTATTTATATTTGAAGTATCTGGCAGACAATGGAAATGAGTAGTAGATAAATTTATAAACAGGAACAAAATTCCACAAAGCTTCATCTTTGCCATAATTGAACCAATAAATATTTCACCTTTGTGTATTTGTGAACAGATTTTTGAACTTTGTGGAGCTGATGCTAAAAAACTGGAAGAAAAGATTCGAGAATTCATGTAAGCTGATCTCCAAGACAAAATACACTTGCAATGTTTTAAAAGGCCACAGTGAATGTGTTGTGTTTTTATTTCCAGCAAACATTGTGGTGTTCTATTGCTCTCTCCCCTGACGCTTTACAAGTTGAATTCCATATTGCGATCTCACTGCAAAAATTGTCGAAACTCTTGTGCTGTCAGAGATTGTGTCATTTCCATTCTCTTAGCCTTGCGCAGCTAAGTCATACCAGTTCAGTGAGAAGGTTTTCCAGAGATTGCAGAAGACGGGATCTATCATAGCAATCAAGAAACACATAGAAGTCTTATTGGCTTGGTGCAGTCCAAATATATAGCAAGCTCTTCCTAATTGAGCCATTGTTTGTGGTACAAAATTCTTCTCCAGTGCATCACCTTGTATTGGAACCATATCATTGGATAAAAGAAAGCATGGTGTATATAGCTATGGTTACATGTATAAATACTTACTATGTGCTAGGCAATATGCCAAGCCTGTAGCTGAGATTTGGCCTCTGTACACCAGTACCAAATGGAACCTTAGAGATAGAGTTTTGGGTGAAGTAGAAAAAAAAAAAAACTGCTTTATTGCTTTACCCGGCAAAGGAGGCCATGCCCTCAAAACTATGTGTCCTGACCTGGAGAGGGTAGTGAGGAATTTTATAGTAATTGTTCAAAAGAGGAGGGTGTGATTAGCTCATGGACATTCTTCTGATTGGTTGGTGGTGAGGTAACTGGGAGTCAGCATCATCAGCCTTCTAGTTGCAACTGGCCTGGGGTCTCTGTGCTTGTAGGCAGCATGCAGTTAACTTTTCCCACCTGGTGGGGTTTCAGTATCTGTAAAACAGCACAAAAATATTGCTGTGTATATCGCTTGAGGGGGAGCCAGGATCCTGCCCCAAGGCTGCACTGTCCTTTCTTGGCTGCTCCTTCCTTGTCTCTTTCCATTGTTAGCAACTATTTGAACCTGCCGTTTGGAACTCAGGAGAGGGCATGAAGGGTGAATGAAGCCTATTTCCTACAAACAAGAAACAGGGGACACAGAGATGTTTTTGTGCCCAGGAGCCCCATGGGATCCTGCTCAGTTTCAAGTCCTTTGCATCCATCGCTTCATTTAACATTTGCAACAATCCTGTAAGTAGACATGTATGGGTAAAATGTATAATGGGCTCTTTGGGTGGAAAAAGTTTGTAGTGATCGCCAATTTCTGTGGTGTAAATACTTGGTAGATTTCAAGCTACCAACATGCTGTTGAAACTGTTTAACTATGTTTGGGACCTGAACCCACAGTCCTTTAACTGGGATACAGACTTAATGAATCAGGTTCTTGGTGTTTCATCACAGAAAGAATTCAGTAATCGACAAAGTGATAGGTAAGAAGTGGTTTTATTTAGAGAGAAACACTTCACAGACGGAGTGTGAGCCATCTCTGAAGGTGAGAGCAGCATCAGGGTATAAGGTTGTCAGTTTTTATAGGGCCGGGTAACTTCATAGGCTAATGAGTAGTAGGAGTATTCCAGCTACTTTGGAGAAGGGGTGGAGATGTCCAGGAATTGTGTCACTACCCACTTTTTGATGTTTATGGTTGGCCTTGGATCTGTCATGGTGCCTGTGGGTGTGTCATTTAGCTTGCTGAGGCTTAGCATATATAGCTTAGCATATACTGAGGCTTAAGGTTTGATGGAAGCTATTTGCCATGTTTTACCTTTTTGGTTCTAATCAGTTTATGTCATGTCCTTGGGCTATGTCATTCTTAAGCCCTGCTTCCTTCCCTCCTGTTTCACCCTCATGGGTCCCAAATGTGCATCCTCCTGCTGTGTGTTCAGGTCATTCTGCATCTATCATAACTTTTCACTTCAATGCTGACAGTGTATTCTTTTAAAAGACATTTTAAACTGCAATTAAAAACTTCTAGGGCATCAACAATGCTTCTAAATCGATTCAGGTGACCACACATGAACAGCTCCTGCCAAGTCTGTGCACACACGGGGACAACCAAGTCAGGGCTGCCATCTGGTCCACTGAGATGATGAGAGGCCACTTCTTGTCAGAGGCATCTCTATTTCAAAGGTGTTAAAATGTGCGATAATGTACACCTGGAGTATTCGGCCTCCTTGATCTTCCAATTAAATGTGAGCTCAAGAGCAAAAGGTTAAAAGCAGTCATAAAAAGGTGGTTGTACTTCTTCTGAAAGATAAGTTGATCTCAGTCCCTTGAGATGCAAGTACCAACCTGTTTGCTTCACTAAGGAAAGGACAAACAGGAGACAGACAGCAGCAGGGAGCGGTGAGGGGTACCAGCTCTCTTGATCTCTGTTGAACCTTGAGTTGCTTTTCTTGACCCTTACAGTGTTTAGGCTGAAACACTGGGAGTGCGTTATCTTTCTCATCTCTAATTCTCTGGCATCCAGCCCAGAGCACAGAGCACAGACCAAAGGAGACCCACACGGTACGAAGCTAAATGCAACACGGTACCCTGAATGGGAGCCTAGGGCAGAAAAGGGACGTAAGTGGGAAAAATGATGAAGTGTAAGTAAAATCTGGCGCTTAGTCCACAGTAACATACCTGTGTTGGTTTCTCAGTTTTAACATCAGTTCAGTCGCTCAGTTGTGTCCGACTCTCTGCAACCCCTTGGACTGCAGCATGCCAGGCTTCCCTGTCCATCACCAACTCATGGAGCTTGTTCAAACTCATGTCCATCAAGTCAGTGATGCCAGCCAACCATCTCATCCTCTGTCGTCCCCGTCTCCTCCTGCCTTCAGTCTCTCCCAGCATCAGTGTCTTTTCAAATGAGTCAGTTCTTTGCCTCAGGTGGCCAAAGTATTGGAGTTTCAGCTTCAGCATCAGTCCTTCCAATGAATATTCAGGACTGATTTCCTTTAGGATGAACTGACTGGACCTCCTTGCAGTCCAAGAGCCTCTCAAAAGTCTTCTCCAACACTGGACAGATACCATACTAGAACATGGAAGCAACCTAGATGTCCATTGACAGATGAATGGATAAGGAAGTTGTGGTACATATACACAATGGAATATTACTCAGCCATAAAAAGGAACATATTTGAGTCAGTCCTAATGAACCTAGAACCTATTATACAGAGTGAAGTAAGTCAGAAAAAGAAAGATAAATATTGTATTCTAATGCACATATATGGAATCTATAAAAATGGTACTGAAGAATTTATTTACAGGGAAGCAATTGAAGAAACAGACATAGAGAATAGACTTATGGACATGGGAAGAGGGGAGGAGGGGGTGAGACGTATGGAAAGAATAACATGGAAACTTACATTACTGTATGTAAAATAGATGGCCAATGGGAATTTGCTGTATCGCTCAGGAAATATTCATACAAGGGCTCTGTATCAACTTAGAGGGGTGGGATGGGGAGGGAGATGGGAGGGAGGTTCAAAAGGGAGGGGATATGTATACCTATGGCTGATTCATGTTGAGGCTTGACAGAAAACACAATTCTGTAAAGCAATTATCCTTCAATAAAAACATAAAAACATGTTTTTAAAATTACTATTATTTTTTGACTGCACTGCGACTTCGTTGCTGTGTGGGCTTTCTGTAGTTATGGCAAGCAGGGGCCTCTCTTGTTTTGGAGCACAGGCTCCAGGCAGGCAGGCTTCAATAGTTGTAGCACTCAGGCTCAGTTATGGGCTCATGGGCTTAGTTGCTCCGCAGCATGTGGAATCTCTCGGGACCAGGAATTGAACTCACGTCCCCTGCATTGGCAGGCAGCTTCCTAGCCATTGTGCCACAAGGACGTACTGCCTATTAATTTTTCAGTTCAATTCTGTTCAGCTGCTCAGTCGTGTCCAACTCTTTGTGACCCCATGAATCACAGCACGCCAGGCCTCCCTGTCCATCACCAACTCCCGGAGTTTACTCAAACTCATGTTCATCTACACATAAAAATAAAATTAAGCAGTTTAAGCTGAACAGCAAAAAAAAAAAATAGCATTCTCCCTGTGTCAAAGCTATTTAATACCACATTCCCCATACTACCCCAAATCATCAGAAATTAGTACTTGAAATTCTCTCTCATGGTCACATGGGTCTGTGGCTTCCATTTCGTGAAAATGTAACCAAACTCTGATTATATGAAAGAAAAAGAAAAAAAAAAAAAACAAGTAGAAGTGGAATGGTTTCCTGTAGACGGCAGAATGAAATTGTGAATCATTCTTTCTGCCACAGCCTTTCATGATCTGGCCCTTACGTTCATGTTTGCCCCCCTCCCATTGTCCATGGGCTCCAGGCATTATCATTATGTCAAGCTCTGTAGTCTTCCCTGCATTTGAAATTGCCTCCTCGCCTCTCTGCCTGCCAAACATTCTTCAATATCACTGGCAAACACACCATTCCTTCCAGTGAGTCTGCACAGTCAGGCGAAGCCTCCGTCCGTGGTCCCAGACAGGGAAGAGCATTCCTTCTCTTGAGTGTCTATGGAGCTTTGTACGCACAACCATTAGCGCCGCCATCTTTTGTGGGGTGTGGTAGATTTTTTTTGTCTGCCTAGGTTGCCAGATAATATACCTGGTGCCTAGTAAAATTTGAATTTTAGATTTTTTAGTGTAAGTATGTCCCATGTAATAGTTAACTGAGTGCCCTGTATTTTTTATTTGCTAAACCTGGCAACCCCTTGTCTGTCTCCAGTGAGACTTAGCTTCCTAAGACAAAGGTAGTGGCCCTCCATCCCTGTATGTGCAGTGCAGCTAAGACCAGGAATACATTTTTATTCCTGCCTAGAAATGCAGGTTTGGGAGAGGGAAAGATAACATGCTCAAATCTAATACATTCATAATCTACAGACTGGACCCACTGTTGACACTACTCTCTAGCTTATCTTTAACACACATAATAACAAGTTACAGACTGCATGGCTTCTACTGACGTTTCTAGTCTATAGGTGTTGCCCATACAGATCACATTGTGAGGGTGAGAACTTGGTCTACTGAATCCAAAGACAGGTATGATAAATAGCAGCTGCAGCCAAGGACAAATCTACTCCATGTTGGGGCCAGTTCTGTCCCTATTAATCAGGTAGGC